AAACGCGTCACAATCGTACCAATCGTCTGGTTTTGAAACTGGAACACTCTGTGTTTGCGTATATTCGAGAAAGTACATAACAAATATCTAGAGACATAACTAAGAACAAAATTCTTTTCTAATAAAATTCATAAAATGAGAATTAGACCCGTGACTTCATTTATGCAAAGCAACATTTGTGTCACTTTTCGAAGGCTGCCAAATGTTTCAGTATAGCTAATATTAAAAACCGTGTATTAAATTTTTTCGACTAATTCTAGGCAGTTTCGCAATTCAATGATATTTTTCTACGTAACTTATTATGCGACAACTTGTACAATTATGAGTCGATTTTGCTAATTCTTTTTGTATTAGATAGAGTTTACTCCCGTGTTGGATATTAATTTTGCCACGACTGATGTTTCTGTTTTTCGTCGAATAAAATCCTAAATTGTATTAAAAGAATATTCAAATAACGACATATCAGTATCAATATTTATAATGATAAAATATAATACGTACTTTATACTCTTTTTAACAAGATACACACATTACTGTTCATTTTCATTCTATTTTTGTTTAGTATGTCGAACAAACGAAGGTAATTTTAATCATTAAAGATAATTTTATGTAGATTTAAAGAGAAATATCTTTCAGTTTTTATGTAGGTACCTATTGAAGTTGTAAGAGTTTGAGTAAATTGAAGTTCAAGTCTGTAAATCAAATAATGACTGTAGTAATACTATTTGTTAATTGTTAATAAGAGAAAAAAATATCTATTGAGTTAGTTGAGTTAGTTTTAACCTTATTATTATTGTGTTTTACCTGTGTGGTAAATATCTATAACAATTTATATAAATATATTTAAATTAGCTTTATATAATATATATACTATATTTATATATTTAGCTATAAGGGTGCGTTTATGCGAACCTGTTCCCGCAGGGATATCCGTAGGAAGAAGTATTATTCGAGGATAGCATAGGTTACAGTTGTCAAATAAAATTTGAATTGGTTCAAAGTAATTCCCTACGCTTATCCCCAAATTTAGTTCCCTAAGGGATAATTTCTCATAAATGGTGAAACAGGTGTCCCGCAGTTTTATACTAAGATTGAATACAAAATTTTCTAAACTCCAATTTATAAAATGATGGCCTTTCCTTAATTATTGGGACAAATTTATTAAAATTATTTTTTGTATTTTATCTTTTATATGCATAGGTACGTAGAAAGAGCTAAAAATAATTAATAACAATAAAATTACCTTTAAAAAATTACATTATCAGGTACTTCATAATGTAATTTTTAACGTTTTTAAATACTAAACTTTAATTTTTTTAGAAAATCGGTCTACGTTTTTTTTTTAAATTGGAGATCTAGCTCTGTAACTGTTATACTCGTAAAAAGTTTTGGATAAAACAATAAGATTCAATAACAATTTTGAATAAAACTAATGCTGTAAATTAGAAACATATATTTGTAATTACTATTATTTCATTCATTTTCTGTAGTCTGCGGATTTGTAAATCGATTTTTTGGTAAGTTCTGATTCAAGGAGACTATAAATAATCGGATTATAAAGTAAAAAAAAACATTAAGTTGTTTCGATCTTGTTAAAGAGCAAAGAAGTTGATTTGTCTGTCGTAAATATTATCGATAAGTAATGTTTTCTTTGGAATGGTAAAGAGTATAATATTTTCTCACGAAATCCCGAGAGTAGCTTATTGTTGCGTACAAGTAAAGCGAGGGGGCTGAGGAGTGGGCTAATCAAATTGTGTGGTTTCAAGGGGGCGTCAAGTCGAGTCACGTTGGTCTGTGACGCTGCGGGCGGTATCCAATTTAATGTTATAGTGGTATATGACTCTTATATTGCATTTCGTGAAAAACTTGGTCAAGTGACAACTGTGCTGGTAATTTTAAATACATGTGTTTTATTTATTTTTTTATTAAGTATGGAGTTATTAATGTATCCCATAATGTTTTTAATGGCTCCTTTTTACCTCTGTTTCTTTTTGATTCAGCTTGATGTTTGCAACGTGCTTTTTAATAAGTTTAATTTTAATTTCATTTACCACTGATAATTATTACCAAAATATAATATTTTGTGAACTTGGTAAATAAATAAGGTTATTTTATATCGACGATATCGCTAGTATTAAAGTTAGAAAACACTTATAATACGATTATAGCCGTACTTTTAGGCGTATTACTTTCCAATTTTCTAAGAAATATGTATTTTTCAAGTCTTATTTTTAAACAAACTTTGTAGAAATTTCTGATTATATTTCCATGAGAATAATTTACGATGAATGAAAATAGGCAAAGTTTTCGTGTTGTTTGTAAATTGTATTTCGGAGACGTTACCTTGTTTAGTGATAGAGAAGACAATAAATATAAATGACTACTTGTTAGGAACAACAGTTACATGTGTTAGCAAATTCAAAAAAGAAGTTACGTGTATGTTTTGCTAACTTTATATTCTGTAAACGGTAACAATCTATGGGAAGGCTTATGCCCAGCAGTGAACGGATAATGACTGAAATGATGATGATGATGAAACGGTGACAGTTATGTCAAACAACAGGTAACTGCTGTCCGGAGGTCTGAAATTTGACATTGAGATCAAATTCCAGAATTAAAAAATTTTGTTTATTACCATTAGTTTTTTGTCATTCTTAGTTGCATAGAAAATACAACGATTTATAGTAAATGTTCTATTTAATTTTTAACTCTTTAGCTTCCTATACAAAATATGAACTTTTTTAGAGTAATAAAAATAAATATACTTATGGTTATAGTCCCTAATGGTTTCAGTTGCATTTGTTGTTTTATATATTAATTTTATTACGAATGTTACAAGAAATTTTGTTTTAGAATTTTATGCGTAATTTATAATAAAAAAGTAAAGTCTGCCATATGAGGCATTAATTTTTAAGAAAGCATATCGCTGAAGCAACGCAACATTAATCTATCTATACAGATCAGAGCTATGACTTGTAGGCCCGGCTTTGACAGGGGTCACTTGTTAGGTGACTAATGGAAGACACGGAGCTTGTCTGCAAATAATCTTCCTGCTGCTTGCACTGTTTCTTTCGTTGATTTATGTGTGTATTTCGTGAGCACATCAGCGGACTCTCCATCAGGTACAGGTGAAAAATTATTTTTTTGTAACTTGAAAGAGGAGGTCAAAAACAATGTGTGCTCATATAAAAATCAACCACTTCGTTGCACTGATAAAAAGCGTCTTGTTATTATGTATCTGTAGTTAAAAGCAACTTTTTTATTGCAAGGGATTTAATTGTACTACTATAAATCTTACAGATTTTTCCCGTATTAATTATGTTAATACCAAAAAGGGAGAGAACACTATCGACTGCTAAAAGAAATTATCAAAATTGGTTTAAAATTCACGAAAATATATAACGATTTTGATCTTTTGGTATTTTTTTTTTTTTTTTTTTTTTTTACAACACAGGGGGCAAACGAGCATGCGGCTCACCTGATGGTAAGTGACTAAATATTCCATAATTCTTTTTACAATCAATATAACGCAATTACTGCCTCCATATTAAACATGTTAATTAATTTTGCAGGACAAAATCTTAAATCATACTTTTATGTTTTCCGTGATAATTCATTGTATTCATTATATTGATAAAAATATATAACTCTTTATATACGTTTAAAGGTAAGTTTATAATAATTTCATCATTTTCCTAAAAATTAATTCAATATATTCAAGTTTGCAGTCAAGCTCGCGTTCGCATTACAACCGCTCATGATTAAGGGTCTCGAATTAATTCACAAACTATTTTTCGATGTAATTACACGTAAGTTAAACTGGTATTTTATATATATATTATTTATAATATGTTACAGATTAAAAATAAAATAAATATTATATAAACAGTCACAGTTTGTAATTTTACATTGTAACTACTAATAATTTCAACAAAGAAGGAACAATCAGAGGGTGACTTTGTACAAAAGTCGATTGCTTGGGTACCTCTGTCCCATTCGTGTTTATACCGTGAAGCAGTTGTGTTTGTTTGGCTGTGTTTTGGTTTGAAGGGTGAGATATGGCGTGAATTTACAGGGTACAGAGGAATAACATCTGAGTCCTCAGGAATGGCAACGCATGGGGAGTATCATGGGCAAAACAGTATACTCTGTTGTCTATGGTATTGCTTATGTCTATAGGCGACGGGTACTACTTTTCATCAGGTGGGCCGTCAGCTTGTTTACCATTTTAAGTTGTATAAAAAATACTATAAAAGATTTAATTAATTCACTAAAAGTTGACAGACAGCCTGATAAAATATTTATACTAAAAAAATATTTGCACTTCGAGAAGTTTCTGTTCAGTCGAAAATATTATTAAAAATGAATAAATAATAAAAAAGATATTTATTGTAACATTTCGCTCCTCCACATTTTGTGAGGACTTAATTTAATTCATGAATGGTGTGTTAAACGTAAAAGTCACTTAGAAAACGGGCTTATGGTATTTGTCATGGCGGAGTGGGAAAATTGTATATTTTATCTCGTTATTTTTGAGCAGTAAATATTTTGAGCTGTAAAAGAACACTTGTAAGTATGTAAGTATTTATTTAATACTTATGACAAATATTTCACACTAAAATATTAAAGTATATATATCTTGTTGTTTATTAAAGAAAAATATAATTGATATAAAATAGATATATATTGATACACGTAATAAACATTATGTGTCTATAAGATTATTATACAATAATATGATTTTATAATACTTAGCATAAAATCGAGCTACATATAGAATTTATATGTGAATTAAACAATGGTTTTCAAGTAAGTATCGAAGGTATACAAAAAATTTTGATCCTTCAAACAAAACGCGTGGTTTTGTAATGGATTCTAGTAGGTTTTCATTTTTATATTTCAATCCCTAGAGAAATTATTTATCTTTATTAATGAAAAAATAATATATTGAGGGGATATCGATGTATAAATACAGCAATTAATAAATCAAATATTATTTCCTAGGCCTTTATCATGCATATGTTATTGTCCAATTTAATATCATTTAAACTGATACTTTTATATAACCTCAAAACATTTTTCTGACAAGGGTGATACCTTGGTATATTTTCAATTTTGTTTAATTGTATTAATTTTAATATACCTTGAATATTTAATTTAAGTCTCTCTATTAAAGTTAGTTTAACTTTTACATTTAATCTTTCAATAGTAGACCAGTCTCTTAAAAGAGTAAATACTTTTTGATGTTCATCACAAATTCGATTGTTAAACGTATTTGTTTGAGCATTTTTCCTATTGATGCCAGGACTAGGGGTAGTGGTGCTATTGTCTATATAATTGACTTGTTGAATACTTGTAGTTCTGCTTGTTTTGTTACAAAACGACTTCTTGCATTGAACTGCGACATTTCGATGTTTTGTAGATCCGTTTCCTATCTGAGTACATTCTGATCGATATTCGGACAGTTTTTTGTTACACGTGACTGTTGCTATATTGTTATTGTTTGTTTTAATATCGAATAACTCATCTGAATTTACTACGACTTCTAGTTGTGGCTTAGTTTGATCACTTGAAGTTGAGCAGACTTTCTCTTCTTGTTTTCTTAGTATATGTTGTTGTATTGCGTTGATTATTTGCGATGAAGGATCATTGACTAACTGACCTATACCCCAAAGATATCCTGCCATCGAGAGATTATAAGAAATTTTATTTCAATTCGATCCAAAGATAAATCCACAATTTATTCAGTTTAGTTGTAAATTGTCATTGATGACGTAAATTATCATTCATAATATTAAAATTAAAAAGAAGAAATAGCCTAGCCAGTACAAACACATTATTTAAATATAGTTACTAAAGTAAATAATTAGTGTAAGTATCTATATCCACTCTACTTCTACTACTCTAACGTATTAACTTTAGGGATTCAATTGATAGAAGTCCAAATTAGTAAACAAACCTATACCTATTGATAAATGGTTCTCTATTCAGTTTCATCTATTATCTCAATAGTATTGAACTGTTGTTTAGTGAACGGTCCTTTTGTTTGTTTTTATTATCAGTATATCTAAGGCTATATAAAGTTGTTCTATTGTATTATCTTTGTAATTATATTACCTAAAAGTTAAAGTTACAACGACAATACCTAGTTGTTTGAATATATATAATAAAATAAAAAAAAATATATATAAAAAATTTATTTCAAGTGAGGGAAGATATCGCCTGTGTATGTTACTCACTAAAAAAATGATCGGAATCGGGAATCTCATTTCTAAAGTGGCTTTCAAATCATAGATATGTTACGAAGCCATCAAATTTGTTCTTTATACATGCAAATGAATATAGGCATGTATACAATAGGAAAAAGGCACTTTAAGAATATTATTTTCCTTCTTTGTGATCGATCAATCTTTACATTTGCGTGATAACATAAAAGTATGGTTTCAGATATAGCTCCATTGTTACCTTCGAATGCTTAGTTTGGAAAACAGATGTTACAATTGACTTTGATCCCAGCGGCTTTACTTACACCTTTCTTGTATAAATATCTTTACTTTTTATCCGCTTGCGAATTACGACTATTTTTTGGTTGGGTGTGTATATATATATATAGATAAAGGAAACACTAGGCGTCATGTCGTATAGGGAGATAAGGGATATGGCCTGGGATACAGCTGGCTGGAGGAAGATGCATGAATTAGTTGCACCGACAAGAGGAAACTCTTAAATGAAAATGAGAGAGAGAATGAATATATTCGTACATAATGCGATCGATATAAAATTATGCTTCTTTCAGTGCAAGAGCATAATTTTGTTGGATTAGTGAAATATAATGAGCGGTAGGTATAACAATTTTTAAGCAATATAATGTAAAAAGATTTGAGGATTACCATAATTGCGAATTTTGTTTCAGGTGAGTAAATCCTTTGGAAAAAATATTTGCTTAATGAAAATTTGAGTGAAACACTCGAAATCTAGAGATTTAAGTAACGATAAGCTTCTTTGGGTATTACAAGTTGTTTTTTATTAAACAACATAATGGTTGTTTTATGTTTAACAGTGTTTGGAAATTGAAGATTAGTACCGATGTTCAATGAAAACTAAATTACAGGTTAATATGAAGATCATATGCGAATTTTTAACTCAGTGCAATTTGAAAAGATAATCATACAAGAATACAATATTGTATTGCGGGTACTTAAACAGATTTATTATGATCAGATAGACTATTTATTGTTTAAGGCAGTAATATTCTTTGAAAACGGTGTATACCGATTTCAGCGATTTCATCTTATATGACAATACTCGTCTATTTTTATCAAAATTATGGAAGTAGATGAAGAGGAATTTGTTTCCATATGCCAGAGGGAGACTTTGTACAAAAGTCGTTTGCTTGGATAACTCTGTTCCATTAGTGTTTCTATCATGAAGGAGTTGTGTTTACATGTCTGTATTTCAGTTTGAAGGGTGGGATATGGTAGTGAATTTACAGGATACAGAGAAATAACAACTGATTTCTCAGGAATGGCAACGTATGAGAGGTATCACGGGCGAAACGGTATACTCTGTTATGTCCACGGTACTGCTCATGTCTATAGTTTAAGGTTACCACTTTCCATCAGGTGGACCGTCAGTTTGTTTGATATTCTAAGTAGCATAAAAATATGCCTATTTTGTAAAGACCTGAAATGAGAATCGATATAATTGTAATATTTTATATAATAAAATTATAATATTTATTTTACCTTTATTTTTATTATCTATCTACTTATATAGATATATTCTGTGACCCGCAGAAGACGGAGTTTTTGGATTCGTTTGAATTTTTATACCACTAATAGGCTATTTGATATTATAAAGGATTATGTTTAATTTAATGCCACCCTAGAGGTCTAGAGGTTTTAAAAGATTTGTGTTAATTTGACAAAAAAATATTAATTATGCCAAGAAAAAAAACTGTATTTATTTATTTGCTATTTTCTGAAATATTTATGTGAATTTAAAAGGATTACTTTTTGGGGGTTCTATATATTCTGACACTAACACCACTAAATATTCCGAGATGGTTTCCAGAAACCAGCCAAATAGACTAATTTTAATCGATTGTAATCAATCTTTTCGATAGGGTTTACTTTTTTGATTACTCCATTTTAATCATCATCATATCAATCGTTAACTATCCACTGCCGAACTTAAGCCTATCCTATAATGAGGGGGGGGGGGGGGTATTTGCTAGTAATTGTCAAGCACGGCAAGTAGGTTGCGAACCGCAGTTCGGCTTAACTTGAATATCCTAAATTAATCCTAAAAAAAAATAAACTAAAATTTGCTTTTGTTTTATTTTTCTTTCTCTTAGGTATATTTATAGACATGCAATTGCGTGTTCTAAAAAATATGTATAAAATATATATATATATATATATATATTTAAAGCCATATTTTTTTAGGCTGGTAAAAAAGTACTTAATATTAAATAAAAAAGAAACCAACTGTGTTGCAACTTTGCATGCTTGAATCTAAATTTATTTCAGATACAAGATAAAGATATGTACGATCTCTATTTTATTATTCAATAGATTTAAAATTATCCATCCAATAATGAGTAAATCTAGGCTGCGTAGGAAGATTCAATAAGTTTTGTATAAAAAAATCAGATTTAATAAGTTTTGTATATAAAAGTTGTATAAAAAAATTGGGGTTTAAAAGTTAGAGATAAGTAAACTTATATTTAATTCAACTGTAGAATTTAAATACATGTAATACATATATAAAAACTAGTTAGAATCTGAAAATGCGACAATAATCTATACTTATATGTAGGAATACATTAAGATGTAAAGATACAAAGCGTTGGTTCTCAGAATAAGAGAAATCCACCAAATATTTTCCGTTTGGAAACAAGTTTGAGAAACACGGTAAATATTTGTTCATAATACTGCTTCATTTGGTAGTCACTCAGAGGAGTCTGGAACATTCCGTACAGAATGCGGCGGCCCCTGGTATCGGGACGGAAACATTTTTATCCTCATTTAATATGTATAGAAAATTTTATCAATCTTTCTTTTCTACAATTCTACTGAATAGCAAATGTGTATTGGATTTCTAGAATACCCTCCGGCAAAGGTATTTTATATTTTAAAATGTTATTGAACAAAATATTAAAGTTATGTATTTTGTATAAATCGAAGTATGTAAATCCAATATATTATTATGCTTACAAAAGTCGATTGCTTGGGTACCTCTGTCCCATTCGTGTTTCAACCGTGAAGCAGTTGTGTTTGCATGGCTGAATTTCAGTTTAAAGGGTGGGATATGGCGTGAATTTAATGGGTACAGAGGAATAACATCTGAGTCCTCAGAAATGGCAACGCATGAGGGGTATCATGGGCGAAACAGTATACTCTGTTATGTCCATGGTACTGTTCATGTCTATAGGCGACGGTTACCACTTTCCATCAGGTGGGCCGTCAGCTTGTTTGCCAATCTAAGTTGTATAAAAAAAAATATGAAAATTACCATTTGTTGCTTTAACGTATGTTTGATAATGTTATATATTATACCATGTGTAATCACAAACATACATGAGCGCGCGCGCGCGCATACACACACAAATACACACACACACACACACACACACGCACGCGCGCACCCTCGCACGCACGCACGCACGCACGTACGCACGCTCGCGCCCACGCACGCACGCACGCACGCACGCACGCACGTACACACAGACACACATATATATATATATATATATATATATATATATATATATATATATATATATATATATATATATATATATATATATATATATATATATATATATATATATATATATAATGTATGTGTGTGTGTGATGAATATATGTTGTGTATACTACAACTTATACACAACATATATTCATCAAAATATAAGCATAAATAGGTAGGTAAAGTCGTAAAATACTTACTATCGTTTCTCACCTGCTGAACCATTACCTGCAACCTGGTAATGTATCGGCACCTGAAACAAAATAAGAATTATAAAAGGTAACTTGCCAGCTACTACACACATAAATATTACATAAAATACAACATAACAATCTAGTTAATAAACCAAGAGAATTCATTCCTTGCTCAATAACATTGATTTGCACATAATTAGGTAGATTGGCATCCAGCTATTAAACATTTTAAATTGGACTAGTTTTTGAACAATGACAGTGGACTAGCTCTTATAAGATTATCAATCGATTAAATATAAATAAAATTAAACGATTAGCAACTGGTCTAGCCCTAACCTACCGTTAGGCATTGGTAGGATGCAGATATAAACGACTGTAATGACAAAATTGAAACTGGCGACATCCATAGTTTGAGGTTCCTGCATTATAATCATATAGATTACGATAAAAAGTTATAAAATATACAAAATCTATAATGAAATGTTACGAAACTTGAAATTTTTGACAGTTTATAGCTTCTATACATTCCTATACGAGTATTATAATGTCATCGACATGTAATAATAATTTAAATGAAATACATCTAAATTATTTTAAACATCTCACCTATTAAAATCTATACTTACTGCGTTTAATCTATATTAAAATCTGTTAAGCTGGTAGCCACGTAGATTACGTGTTGCATCAAAGATTGGGATATACCTATACAATTATTCCTATAGATTTACACAAACTCAAATAAATTATTCTTTTTAAAATCGGGTAAAATGGCTAAGTATAAAATTAGAAT